TACAGCCTTATCCTGTGCCCTGGATTCTAAAATAAATACAGGGCCTGAGCAAGCTTACATAAGAGACCAGCAAGCCAATCTCTGCTATCAGAGGTGGTGGGGACTCAGGCAGCAAGTGACAAGCATGCCACATCTTGCTTAAATGACAAGGCAGAAGGAGCAGTCTGTACATATGTAACTTTGAAAAATGTTGGCAACTCTTACATATTTTTTGTAGAATAAGAGTCACTCCTCTCAGTATTTGGTTTATGAATAAAACTATTCTCCAGCTTTTTCTATAAAGTTAAGGACTTTGAAAATCCTACGGCACTTCCTGTTAAGGGGGCTTCACTGAAAATAGTCCTTTTATCGCCTCACAGATGCAGCTTAAATGTGGCTAAGATGCAGTCTTGCCTGAGACTATAAATGAGAAGGTTATAGTTTTAAATTGCTGAAACCTATCACGCAAACAGCAATGCATGAGAGGTATCAAAGCCCAGAGAAGCACATGGGAGTGCTGGCAGCCAGGCCCTCTTCAGTTCCCATTATTCTTACCTGACTACAGCAAAGAGGTAAAAAGAAAAGCACTTGATGTCCTTTACAAATTATGAGGTTTGGACAGCTTCATTTCTAGGGTTTGGTTCCCTCACATCAAGTGTTATGTGATAGCGCAGTACCTAGGATTTGTTCTTTCTTCCCTTATCTAACACACCTAAATGAAATCAGCTCACGTGTAGTTTGTTCAGTGCTGCTGTTCTGTTATGCGAGCCAAAGAGTAAAGAACACAACAATTTTAATTAGCAAACAACTGTCCACACAGACTTTGTTGGTACAACATCGGTACAAGTACAGCTACAAACACGTACAGGGTCTTTGGACTACGATTTTTTTTTTAAATATATTTTATATGACAATGTGAACAAATTTGGAAAAAACCATTACTTCAACCTTATGTAGAGGTAGCTGAACAGTGCTCTGTTCAGTGATATAAGAGTATAACTTAAGTTTCAAGTTCATTACAGTGCACAAAAGGATGTTTTACAAACAAATGGAATATACAAGTCCACAAAACTTTTTATTTAAAATGGCTTGATAAATGTATTTCTGGCACTCTTGTAACCACATAGCTTGATGGAATTAAGTTGGACAAGTATATGGTTCCAAATTAAGACATCTTACACAGATAGTCTTTTGCTCCTCATTTTTGTACTTCTCCTGTTCCTCACCAGGGAATTATAGAAGCTTTTATGTTGGTTTTGCTACACTTCTGCTCTGTAAACCTTTGTTCTGCAGATTGAATGTAAAGATTTAAAGGTGCATGTGTTTATATTTATAAAATATATGGCTATGATTCTATTACAAAGCTCAAGAATGGCAATAACAGAATACAGGCACTTCTATGTGAGGGTTACTTTAGACCTTATGAAACTCCAACATTAGTAAGCACTTCACATGATACCTGGATGAGTAAGTCAATGTAATAGTTCAGGTTTTATTATCCACCATTTTAATCATAAACAGATTAGTTTCTTGCACCCAGACACTATTTATTTAGCAAAGTGTCTCAAAAGAGTGACTTTGCTGAAACTACCATTTTTCTGTAGCGATGCTAAACTCTGTGCTGAACCAGTTACAAGTTAGGTTGTGAAGCTGACAAATTAAATGAGAACCAAGCAGGGGTTGCAAAGAGTGACTGAGTTCATCTGATGTAAGACTTGGGAGAATGGGGAGCACTACCCTTCATGGGGTTTTATGCACAAAAATCCTGTAGTTACTTTACACTTGTTTTTAATCAGAGTTTGTGAACACGTTCTCCATTCCTAAACACTGCATTTAAACAACTCCTGTCTTTCATTCAGTTAAATGCCAGCAAAACTTCAGCACCAGGTAGAAATCAGTAAAAGGAAGAATTTTCACAATGACAGCAAACAGCTATGGGAATTACCTCTCCAGGGAAGTGGCAGATACCCCAACATGGGCTACCTTTAAGACTGGGCTGGACAGGGGGCTGGGACATCTTGTCTAGACCATGCTTTTGCCAAGAAAGGTTGGATCAGATGATCCTTGAGGTCCCTTCCAACCTTGGATTCTATGATTCTATGAAAAGACCATCTAAACAAAACATTTTAAAGCTCTTTCTTTACAGTACAGATTAAGCCAGACCTGCTACATCCAAATCCATGTTTGGTTTGTAGGGTTTTTGTTTTGGATTAAGAAACCCATGGTTTAGGTGTTCCATTAGTAAGCAGTCATACAGGACAGAAGGATAACCCAAGGAATAGGTCAGTCATTCACTATGACAGCTAGTGTCTCTTACTGCTACAAGGTAGTGGAAGATACCAGCACTTAAAATGAAAACAAAAGTAAGAGGATCTTCTACAAGACCGACCAGAATATCTCTTACGACTTAGAATGATAATGGCCTATCACACCATTACATCATTTCACTATTAAAAACTACAAAAGTCCTTTCTAAGAAGCCAGTGTGTTACTTAGGCCCTCACAACAAAGATTAATCAATACTTCTGGTCACACAAGATATGTAACTTTGAGTCATTTTTTCTTTCTTTTAAAAAGATGAGCAAGACTGGGTTTGGTGTCTCAAAAAATGTGAGAAGCTTAAATAAAATACTCCCCCAATTAGTATTTCATCTGAACAATGCTGTTTCTATAAGTGAAGGTACTTTTAAATCTGCTTAGCTGCTTATTCATGCTTATAATCAATGTAATTTACATCTATGTCCTGATTCAGACAACTGAAAAAAACCCCAAGCAATACGGTGGCATAACTAGATTTTTGGGGGTTTTAAACCTCATTACTGAAACTGTCTCAACTCACTGAAGGCGAAGGCTATTCTTTGTCCACCTTTCCCTGGACAGGTTTGTGTTCTCTAGCAAATCTGCTTTTTCTTCTGATGGAACTTGCAGACTTTAGCCATTAATCTGAGATGTGTGGCCATAGAGCAGTCCCAGACAGAATCTCACTGAACATGTACAGATGAACTTTCTTGACATGTTTGTTGTGCATATGCAGATCAACTGTATGCATTATATGCAGTAGGTCCAGTGTTTCCAGGTTGCAACCGATGCACTGGGCATTTATGATACATTATGATTTATGACATGAGTTTCTGCTTAGGAAATTCTGGCATTTTTAGTGAAGGCTGATAGAGAGGACAGTACTCACTTTTAAAAGCAAGGATTCTTTCCATGCAAATTTCTAAATCAACAAAGTAGGCAGAATATAAGTATGTAGAAGATGCAGCACGCAGAGGAAAAGAACAATGACATCAGTGAGAAAACTGTTTAAAATAGACATCTAAAGTCCTTTTCTCACAGATAGAAGTAACAGAAAGCTTTTTCCTATGGGAGAGATGTGGGCCCCTTATGTTATCTAATAATACATAATGGTTTAAGGAAGAATTGCATTTAATGCAGCTCCACTTCCAAACAAGTAGAAATCACTTTGTTATTGACTTCTGAAGACAAATGCTTTAGTAGGTGTCAGCCACCATACACTTGTTTTTGTTCAGAACATGTAGAATCATAGAATCAACTAGCTTGGAAAAGACCTTTAAGATAGTGAGGTCCAACCTTTGCCCGAGCACTGCCAAGTCCACCACTAAACCATGTCACTGAGGGCCTCATCTACACAGTTTCTGAACACTTTCAGGGACAGTGATTTCACCACTACAGGGCAGCCTGTTCCAATGCCTGAGCACCCTTTTAGTGAAGAAATTTTTCCTAATATCCATTCTAAACATCCCCTGGTGCAGCTTGAGGCTGTTTCCTCTTGTCCTATCACTTGTTACTTGTTGAGTGGTAAGGTCTCCCCCGGAGCCTTCTCCAGACTAAACCACTCCCAGTTCCTTCAGTTGTTCATCACAGCTGTGCTCCAGGCTCTTCACCAGCTCCATTGCCCTTGTCTGGATCCACTCCAGCACCTCAATGTCTCTCTTGTAGTGAGGGTCCCAGAACTGAACACAGGATTTGAGGTGCAGCCTCACCAGTGCTGAGTACAGGGGATGATCACTGCCCCAGCCCTGCTGGCCACACTAGTGCTGATACAAGCCAGGGTGCTGTTGGCCGCCTGGGCACAAGCTGGGTCATGTTCAGCTCTATCAATCAGCACCCCCAGGTCCTTTTCCCCCCAAGCAGCTTTCCAGCCACTCTTCCGCTAGCCTGGAGCATTGTGGGGTTGTTGTAGCCCCAAATGCAGGACCTGGCATTTTTCCTTATTGAACCTCAAAAATACCTGTATGTATTTCTATACATTGTTTACAGAGAAGCCTGTAAAGTACCACCTATGGAAGAAGTGCAGCAGTCTAGCAGTATGGAAATAAGTTGTAGCCTTTCTAGAGTAGCCCAATGCAAATACAGGATATGTACTCCATTTGCATCACAAGGTTGAAACATGTTTGTCTTCCATTCCTTTCTTTGGTACCCTTGTTGAAAAGTTCTACAGAACAGGGGGAACAAAGGGAGTTTTATGAAAACTTAGCAGTATGGAAATTATTTTTAACTAATAAATATTTCTGATGATGTCATTGACATTAAATTCTACTGCATTTTTTTCATAAAGGCATGGAATGGCAAAGAGTGCTCTCCTGGGTGAAATAAAGACATTTGTAGCATTCCATAACATTCTCAATTCATTCTGTTTTTGCCACTGAAAAGGAAAACAGTAGCTTAGAACAAAAGGCCCAGTTCTGCTCACACTCAAATCAGTGAGAAGTCAAAAGTCAGATGGAGGCAAGATCAGTTCCAGAAAGTGGTGCACTGAAAGCAATAAAAACAGCAAAACAAGTATATGAACTATTGATTTAAAACAGGATGAAAATCAAACCCAAGATACTTCCTGTTCTCATTTCTGCTCTGTTTTTTACCTTCTTTATAGCTGGAAGTAATCACACTAAAATTCACTTGTTTTTCTTGAGAGCTAATTATCAGCAACACTACCCAATCTCATAAGAGAAACGCAGTGGCTGGGTAGAGATTTGAAGCTAACAGAAACCTGAAGATTGGGGTGAAATAAATAGCATTTATTACAACATAATCCTTCTCATGTGACAAAAATCTGCCCTCTGAGTCCTACAGTTCAAAATAACTCCCCCCACCCGCCACATATACACACTCCAAAGCCAAATCCCACCAAACAATTATGAGAAATAAAACTGATGTTAACAGCAACAAGAGTTAAAAAAAAAATTAAAAATTAAAAAATAAAATTAAAAAAAATTATGTAGTAGCCTACGATGAAATGATACCAATAACTTCCAGTTTTCTTTAGGAGAAGCCACTCCCCATATATTGTGGCTCTTTCTTCACAGCTGATTGTAGCCATTATCCATTCTTCAAGAGAGTTCAGACATAAAGTTAACTCCAAGTTATTCTCTGTTCTGTGAAAACTCAGGGATAGATCCTTCTGTCACCACTACAGCAAATCCCCACTGACATCAAGACTTGAATATTCTCAAGCACTTCAATACTCATGCTTAAGGTTAAGCATGTGCTTGACTGTTTTGTGATACCAGGAACCCAGTGGCAAGCGTAGGATCAAGATCCAACAACTGTGCCTGAAATATCTCAGACATAATCTGTGTATTCAAAGACTTTATGGCAGGCTGTTTCAAGGGGAAAAAAATCCTTCTTAAGCTACAGTAGAACTGGGGGTAAGTAGAAAAACATTCATTATTTGAACACAAATATCTGAAAAATTATCAAAGCAGTTGCTTGTATACTGCTAGAATCAACATTTTGCCCCAGTCATAAATACAGGGTAAAAACACTATAAATAAATAGAGCAGCTCACTTTCCTTTAGAGAATGAACACATAAATAATATACATTTTGAAACAAAAAATCATATTGCAAAAATAAATTATCAAACGGAAGTTGTGAACATTATTTTATACAATGTTATATAAAACCTGAACCATTTGGAATAAAAGACTTTGCAGTTCACTGAAATAATGCATTAACATTATTATTTCTGCTTCACATTAAACTGCAGTTTATCCTTTATCCACTAAAAAAAATAATAAATAAAAACCTCTTAAGCTTTTTAAAAGGTTTATGGCAAACAAGATCACTTTTTGTTCTATCACATTTGTTATTAATTTAGCAGTGCAGTGATTGAGTAATCATCTCAGAGTTCCAAATGGAAACTACTGAAGTATCCATAAACATCCCTTGCTCTTTATAACTCATTTTCTTTCACACTGAAGCTTGAAACATCCTGACACTCAAATCTGTAAGACATTATTGCAGTTAGATGAAGTTACAAGAGACAGTCTACAGTCAAGTACTGTGGGAGACTTCACAGCTCTCCTTCTCACCATCACCGTGATCTTGTACGAGACATGAATGTAAGGACACGTCTGATGCCATTCAAGCGGTCTTTGAGGGATTTCATGGCAAGGAAAGGAAGCTGAGCTCTGTTCTCGAGTGGAAGGACAGCTAGGACCCACCAGCACCATGCTGGCCCGTTAGGATTAGCCTGTGGTAAGGGACGGGGGGGAGAGGGAAACAAAGTTAGGATGCACGGAGGTGGTTAAGTCTTGTTTTAACACAGTATTTTGATAGCAATGTAGCTAACAGATCATTTCTTTGCCAACCTAATGGCTTGTGATTACAGGTTGGCCTGAAACAAATTACAACCAACTTACACCTTTCCTAAAAATAGGATGTTGAAGACGAAAGCTTTTTCTATCTATCTGCATTTCTATTTCTAGCAATAGTTTATAGGTTAGGCCTTCTAGATTTTTTTTAATGTATTTTGTTCCCATATTATTATTGACCCAGTTCCTTGGGATTCCTGCCTCCTTTCTTCATGCTTTATGACACTACTGTATATTCACTTTATCTTATAATCTGTTATTTTAGGATCCCTACTATTTGCAGTCCTTGTTTCCTCTTGCCTGTTTTCTCTCAGTCATGTAATTGGGGAAATGGAGTAGGCAAAAAGGCATTTAAGTCTCCTGGAATTAATAAAGTCAGGTCAGTAGTCTCAGGAAGTTACCAACATTAAATATGAGCATTTTGTTCACAACTGTGGTACCACTGGTGCTTGGCAACATACCATAGATACTTAGCTTATGCAGGATAAATTAAAAGTATTCATTTTTTCATCTTAAAACACAGAGCCTCCCAGTTTATCGGATATCCCTGCTATTTCTGTCTCTTAAAGTTACATAAGCCACTGATTCTGGGTACCTGTGGGTCAGGATCCTTAGCTGGCATTGGACCAAAATGACTGAGAATTCGACTTTTGAGTGCTTGCTTGAGGGAGTTAAACCACAGATATGCCTGATCATAGACAGAATCATGGAGAACAAGTAATGCAGCATACTCTTGTCCTTGCACCTGAAATGAGTAAAGAGAAGAGGAGGGTTACTGTTGGTTCAGTCTGCAAGTTGGGGAAGGCACAACACTGATTTTTAGGAATTTCTGGAGTGGATAGAGAAAATAAAGAAAAATAACGGCAAGAGTTCTGGGATGGATCCAAATAGCGAGGCTGGTGTCCCCCATTCTGCTTCCTCCCCATTTCCCCACCATCAAATCCTTCACCTTCTTACCCTATAGTCTAAACCAAAGATACCTATTTGCAGAACAAGCGCTTTCTTGATTGCTATGTAAAAAACACTTCACAGAAACATCACAGTACACAGAAGATTATGCAAAGCTTTGTGTTTGTAATATTAGCAGCTCCTCAGAGTAGACATTTTATCTTCCCATTGTACACTAAAGCTCATACTTCACCCAGAATATTCTGACTGACTACAGTCATTCTTTTTAAGAAAGAATGAATATAAGTAATTTTGAAGGTGTAGTGGATCCAATCCTGCTCCTTCTATATTAATGGGAGTTTTCTAATCAGCTTCCATGCAAATAGAGGCAGGTTCTCCCAACCCCCTTATAAACCACAGTTATTATGTCTAGGAGAGAGGTAAAGTTTCATCCTGGATTCATGTAATTCTGTTTTCTGCTAAAAACCTCTAGGAAAAACACTCTCAGTATATGGGCAGTGTGTGTGCATGCTTGTGGTAACTCTTATGTTTCCCATATTTAAACATGAGCAGCTAATAAATACCAGAAATTTGTTTTACTAGAAACTGTTCTACAAAAGTAAGAACTCACTGAAAACAGGTGCTTAAATTTCACATGTAACACAGTTTAAATGAAATATTTCATTTACCTTTTGATCCTCAATGTACTCAATATCAGCTGTGTTATAGCCATCACGCTGGCTGTGCTGTATCACTTTAAATCTTCTTTTGCCGATGCTGTCTACAACAGAGCGACCATCAGCAAAGAATTCCACATTTCTTATCTCCAGAATGCAGCCATAATCTGCAAACCTATTGAAATCAGAACAAAAGCAAGTAAACAAGTCTTATTTCTCTCCACCCTTAGCTCCACAGAACTGCCATACAGCCAGTCCCTACCACAAAGGTATTTACCAGTGTCAGCTCATTTCTATTGTTCCTAGTACTGACCTGCTGCAGTTCAAATTATTCCACAATTGTTTTCAAAACTATCAGGAAGATTCAGGCTGTCTAATCTGATTAACACTAACTGCATGTTGTGGAAGACAGGGAACATCTTATAAAACTGAAAGGTATCCAGCTTCAACACACTTTCTCTGTAATCCTGATAGGTTCAATTTGTGAAAAACAAGTGCAGTTCAGAATACTAGAATTGTGGAAGGACTATAAAATCTGTAAAGAAAAACTTTTTCTCACGATTTCAGCAGATTAGACTTTGTAGGTGTGTTTTGTGTACCTCAAACTTTTTATGGCGTATACATACCCTGTAGGTATACACTATAAGGGAGGAAAGCTGAACAGAGACAGGCATTAAGATCAAATTACTTAAGACTGACTGTAAATGGCTCAATGTAAATGCTCAGCCAGTCCTTATGAAGGTCCTGTTGTACGTACCCCTGCAGCTTCTGCTATATTCAGAACAGTGAGGATATAATGTATCCCAATAGCTTAGCTGTTCTTTTCATAATTTAAAAAAACCTAACCCTACCAAACACCTTAATGCCCTTCAATTTGATTTCTTGTGCCAAAGCACCCAACAGATTTCAAAACAGTAGAAAATACACTTCACTTTTCATGTATTACAAGAGATCTGCAGCTCAACTTTCTACAATACACACTAGCTATGTGTGTTACAAGAAAATTGGGCAGTCATATTAGTCAGAATCTAAGTAGTCAAGAGAGAAACTCAAGTCTTCTCCATGTCTCTAACTGGCATGATTAAGAAGAAGCTTTCTCTACTGGAAAACCATCACATATATTATAGCCATGGACTTTTCTGCACTTCTCAAAAGAGACTTGCTCCACACTAAGTAGGGTACATCACATAGTCCAAGCATGCGGCTCACTCACCCTTTTACAGGGTCACTGATGCACATTCCAAACTGTTTGGTGCCAGTCTCCATGCACCTTCGAATCATCAGGCGATAACATGGCTCAAAGATGTGCAAAGGGCATGGGACTGTGGGATAAGCCATTGTGCAGACAAATATGGGAACATTCTTGTTTAGGCTATAAAAAAGACAAATCAGATATGACATTTACCAAACTACTAATAAGGTATAAAATACATTTTATGCAATAACATTGTTTAAAATGATGATATCTTTAAATAGAGATTAAAACATCTTTAGAATAAAACTCTTAATGGAGTAAGTAAAAGCTAAAATGTTTTTTTTCCCATTAATCAAGTAGATAGTATGGAAAGTGATATACAACTTACTAGCAGAAGAGTTTTTAGTTACGCTTTCTGGGTTTGGTAGTGAAAGAATTAATGCATCTGTATTCTTACCTTTTTAATCCCATTTCTTCCCTGCCTAGTACATTCCAACCCCCAGCCTGTGAGACTTCCACTTACTGTCTCACTCTGTGGCTTTTGTGGAGGCCACTGAAAGCAACCACATTGCTTTATAGTCTATTTACTTCTGGATTTCTCCTCTTTATTGTTCAGCACAGGCTCAGTTTTTATGATAACTCAAAGCACAGTTTCACCTGGACCCTTGTTCTTTTTGAAATGACATGATACCAAGAAAGAAGCTCCTTTGTCAGCATCTTAAGTTGTGTTCTACAGTAGCAGGAGCCATTCCCCAGTTAACAGCAGTATTATTGGAGATTGGAATTTACATAAATGGATTACATACTTGGAAAGCTCTGCTATTTCCTCTTCATAAATCTTTCTTCTTTCAGTGAGTTCCTCTGGAAGGTATCTAGCTATTAACTCCTCCATTAATACTGTTTTACAGTATTTCCTCATAGCCAAGCACTGCAGAAAACACACACAAGCAATTAGAAATAACGTGTGGCATTTTGAGTGTATGGTGCCTATGCACAAGGTAGCGTCTGTTAGCTCCATTTTTTACGTCTATAGCAAATCAAATTGATTTTTTAAGCTAACAATGCTACTGAAGACTTGTTTATTGGACTACTGGGCATTTGAATACTTTATTGAACTATTGAACGTTATGGGCATTTCTGAGGAAATTTGGGAAGTAACAATACCTACAGATTTTCTACGAACAGGTGTGGCCCTAAGGCTTGAGCAGGGGAGACTATCCATGCTTTGTAAGTCATAAGAGCATTTAAAGTCAAAGTCTTATATTTCTTTTTAGTTAGGAAATATCAAAGGTTTCTGAATATTTCCTGTCACCCTTGAATTTACGTTCAGAGAAATCCAAGCATCATTACCTCCGAGAGCCCTTCCTTGCACAGGGGACATTTTGGGTTGTGATCTAGGCATCTCTCAAGACATTTGAGACAGAAGGTGTGTCCACAAGGTGTAGTGACAGGTTCATAGAAGAGCCTGGATTGGAAAATCCAAAACCAAAACAATAATATTGTGTACCAAAATAAAGAAGCTGCTACCAAAAAAGCTGTATTCATTCTCCAGTTTAACTGCTCCAGGGATAAAGTTATTCCTTGCTTTTTGTTTCTTCAATCAACTCTTGAATTTACTCAGCTTATACTTTCTTATTGCTACCTGATGTCAAAACCAGCTCATGAACTCTGATTTCAGTGAATGCGAGAGAATATTGTCATTAGCTTCCAATAAGCCAGGATTTAATTTTCCTTTATGTGAGCGATAAATAGAAGCAGAAGTTGACTTTTTCTAATGAAATTGAGCAATACTTGCACAACTATTACTGTGGAAATCATGTGATTACTCATATGTGTAGAGCTAAGTACAAAATAGCTATTTGCAGTAATAGCCCACATAAGTGATTGCAATAAACTGTTATTGCCAACTCTAATGTGGACTTGGAAAGCAGTTTTGTTGCAATAGACAGGTTTTAACCTTCAAACAACCGCTTTTCTGGAGCATCAGTGATACTAGGCTCCTGTTCCATCTAGAAAAGTATTTCAATATACAAGACCAGGTCTTCAATGTATCATGATATCTAATCTTTACCTATTTCAAGTACCTCTGTGACACTTATCTTCATATAAGGGTTTTTTACTTATTATTATGTTTATGTGCTAACGGAATGTGGTGTTTCCTTGCCAGTAAGTACCTTAAAGAGATGCAAATAATATGGATTTTTTTTCATAGAAAGTGTTTGATACTAGGAAATAGGTTGTTCGGCATATACTGTATTTTACAACATACTAGCTTTTAAGGTCTCAAATATTAGTCTAATTTTAAGTGAACTTACAAGTTTACTGTAAAATATTACAGTTTGTCAAAATAGTACACTGAGTCCTGTTACACATTTGGGTTTATGTATGTAGGATTTCACATTTATTAGCATCTATTATGAGTGTAATCAAGAACATAACTGGCTCCTAACAAGATTGTCAGTTTATATTGCAATTTGACTTGTTTAATTGAAAATCCTTAGTAATTGTTTTATGAAGGGAAACTTCATTGCACCAAGGCTCCCTTATTGCTTTCAACTATGTAAAATACTGAATTCTACAATATGTTTCAGTAAGCACTGGTTTGCACATGTAATTTCATAGTCACTTACTGGATATGAAATGTTAGCATAAAGACAAGCAAGTCCTGTTGAAATGTGTGATTCTGCTCTAAGTCTCTCAAAAGCCAGCAGCAGCTTCTTCCTAATGACTCTAAAGGGACCTGGACCAAGCCTCATGACTTGCAGAAAGAAACACCATACACCAAGATTTCTCATGACATCATTTAAGCTACTGTAACAGCAGAAACTAAATAATCACTCCTGCTGAGTAATGCTCCCTCATTCTTCCACCAGTGCACTGCTTTGAGTATTACTTTTTATCTTCCGCTTGCTGCTGGAGTGAATGTAGATCAATAACATTTTAGCCACTGTCAGACAAATAGGTTAATAACAGCTCTTGCAGTTAATTGTGAATAGGTCAGTAGGTTACTAGGTAATTAGTCCAAAGTATCTTAGGATCCAAATCCCCAAAATACCTCTGAAGAACACAGCAGGAAACAATTATAATCAATCTGCATTAATAGCAAGGAAAAGATCTTGTGACACTTGCCTTAGCACAAGCCTTCATTATTGAAGCGATGTTACAAAGCTAACATCCTCCTAGATGCAAGGTCTGTATTTGTGATTGCAATTACAGATCAGCATCGCCATCCTCTATATTGTAAGCTCAAGGATTGCCAATTCCCTAATTCCTTTACAAATGCATTGTAGTCTGGCTGTTTCTGATTTAACATAGAGGATGAAGAAGTCGGGCTAATTAATTTTATTTAAAACATCTGAAAAATGCTTTGTTGACAAAATGATCATAAACATGCAGGCTCACTAAATCAGCTAAGACTAATTCTGTGGCTTTCTGTTAGGGGAAAGTTTTGCTCTTAGCAGTATCAATTGTTTTGACAGCTATATAAACTCTCAGCTCACTTTTCAGCTGTAAGCAGAGGGAGGGGGGCAGAGCCAATTTATTCCAAGCAGAACCAAATCAAACACAATAGCTGTTTCAATTTGCCTGAGATAAATGGAAGATGTCCCCCACTTCCTGCATACCAACAACCAACCAAGCAACTCCACATTTCTCAAAGCACAGGCCTGTCTGCTGTTAAGAATTTAAAATATAGTGCAAATCTAACCTAAACATACATTATTGATAAATCTGGGTAATGAAAGCTACAGACCTAAGCTACACTCCCTGCAGAAGTCAAGATCCCTGTGAAAAACCTTTCCAGTGTTTCCAAGTCAGTTAACAAAACCCCACGTGCATATTTTCCAAAGTTAAAATGTGTTTTACAAACAAGTAGTAAAATAGATGTAGTTGAAAACTACTGGTTTTATCAAGTCGTTGCTGTCCCCAAGGACAACTGATGACTAGAAGAGATCACGAAGCAAATGGATCAATGGCCTTGGTAAACAAAGGAGCACATCTCTTAAGTAATAAAAGAAAAACATGCTCTTGTTTGCTTGCAAGATTCTCCTACTGCAATACTAGCAACATAGTATTTTACATGCAAATGTGGAATATTCATTGGATGTGGTCTCTTCAGCTATTTTGAACTTTATATAACATCATGCAGGGCTGTACAGACTTCAGAGGACAAACTGGTTTTGTGCACTATGTGTGTCAGCGGGTGGCCACGTGTAAGTGATGAGAGGAAATCTTTCAGAGACCTTCACTAACAGACATAACCCTCATGTGCCCTTTCCTAAACAATCACTAGCCTAGAAGAGATCAAGACGTTCCTATTCATCAAGTGTTGATGAACAGGTCTAGAAATGCCATAGCAATTACAATAAAAACTAATTTCATGACAAAGGGAAAAATTACCAAGTAAACTAGAAAATCTCTAGGTCATAAAAGGGAAAGAGAGACAGCTTAAAAGCTAGACATCCATGAGAAAACAACAGATACCTCATACATAGGGAGCAGTCCAAATCTGATGGATCCACAAATTCAAATGGAGTATGTTGTCCAGCACCGTTTCCCTTAGTATCAACTGTATCTATCAATAACAGAAAACATATTACAGTGTAATTGAGCAGAAGTATGGTAAACACAGTGGTATTCTGTGTAACTACAAGCAGCAGCCAATACTTAAATCTGTGTTGTATACACTTGCAAGTTACTGAACCATTAAGCATCATTACAGTAATTTCTACGCAAAGCATCAAGTTCAGCCTTGGCACAAATCAGCATACCTTCTCTTCATTTTGGTGGCATTATACCCACTTACAGAGGGCTGAATTTAGCCTTGCATTAACAATTCATGTCAAACCATTTTTTTCATTGGTGTTGGAAGTGAGATACATTCTTCTGTCCTACCATTGTAAACATATCCTACAGCATGAAAACAAGGCCAGATATCAGCAACAAACAACTTGTGCTTTTAAGCAAACTTTTTTCAGTGATGCAGAAAGTGCTAAGACCACGTGTGACACTCATATTCCTTAAAAGATTCAGATCTCTGATGAGGAACGAACATCGGCAGACCCGAACTTCTTACCCGCTTTTAGACTATTTTTTGTTTTTAATGTACACAAAAATTCCGCGTGCTGCCCTGATTAGACTAAAGGGAAAACGCACAAAGCCAAAGTGCAATTTGGACCCTCTTCCTCTAATTTGTATAAAAGCAAAATTTCTACTGATTGCATGCCATGAAACTTACCCTGTAAGCAAACAAACATACCTTTCTTCATCACTTTGCAGGGGAGCTCAGCATTTCGCATCTCCTCCGAGCAGCACTTCCTTTTCAAGAGGCTGCACTTGTCAGAAATGAGGAAGGTAGATTCCGGCATGGAGGTGAGTTTGTTCTCCTCCTGCGAGCAGTCCTTTTTGCTCTCTGTAATTTGTATAGATTTCCTCAAACTACCAGAAGTAGTTACGTTTGGTTCCTCTTGAATGGAAAAACCTTTTTTCTGTTCCACATTTACCTGTGTGAAGAGAGGTCTGACATTGGACTAATCTTACAACAACTTGGTAAGGAAAAAGCCCCAAACCTATTACAAGTCTTTAACATTATGGATCACCAGGAAGGACTTTGTAGGTCAAGAAGCAACAGTTTGAGAATTATTGTCAGGGCCTGCTTGTAATGGAGGGGAAAAAAAAAGGCAAACTATTAGCTCTCCCCACCCATCCTAACCCCACCATGGCACTGAATATTTTCAGCCTTTATGTACGGCTTTATAGCTTGGTCATGAAACTTGATTCAGGCAGAAATGTGGCCAGATCTCAGGCTAAACATTGTTATCCCTTAACCTATGGGGAAATGCATATTGCGTATAACATAATGATGGTATCAAGTATCAAAAACAACCAAAACAATGTGAATTTATTTTAAGGAAGCAGTATAAACACACAAAATTTGTAACAGAAAAAATGCACAGAGCTTCCTTTAGCAAGTCAGATTTATTCTGCAAAGGCTAAAATGAGGAGACTTCATCCTGTTAAGGCTACAGAACAATCCGGAGCAGCCATTATACAGGACATCCCCTATCAGCTTGTCACATCAACTCCCCAGGTGAACCCAAAAGTAGATACTATGGATAGTGATCAGAAGCTGTGGCAATGTGTAACACGCAGAAAGATGAGTGACCTGTCCCTCATTAAGGGGTCATACAAAAGGATTTCTTGTCAGAATGTCCTAATAGCCTTTCCAGAAGGCAAAGTCACCGAGTGTTCTTATCAGTCTCAACAAGGCTGCTCAAAACCTGCCATTTTCGTTTGTGAGGACTAGTGAAGTTTTCTCCCACATCTATATGCATATATGTGTATATGCCAAACCTATCCCCAAAGTTCAGATGTCAGTGAAGCAAAAGTGGTCCTTACGAACCCATGGATGCCAACCTCTACAGCCATCTACAAAACTTCGGCTATGAAACCAAACTTACAGAGCAGCTAATACATCTTATATGGCTTTAGAATAATCTCTAAGCAGTGTACAGAATCTGAAGGCAGGATAGTTTTGCCACTGACATCATCAATTATAGTTGAAGCTGAAACCCCAGATTTTAGCATTTCACAGCTTTGGAGGGTATCTCAATCCAGTCTTCAGAGGCCCTTTCCCACTGCCAACTACTTGGAAGAGCTAAAGACAGTTACAGGACTAGAACCCACTCAATTCTGGCATAAATATTACCAGTACTACACCAGAGGACTTCTACTAAAGAAAAAGAAGCCAGATAAGGAGACTTCAGTAAGTCAACACTTTCTTGTAATCTTCTGAAACTCGGTAAAAATCTGAGAAAATGTATCCTCCTGTCTCCCATAGGCGAAAAAGGAGAGAAGGCTTCCCAATGTGAACATAAAACACACACGAATTAAGAACCACACATCAGACTTGGTTTTTACCTTGAGCAACCTCTGTAGGTTATGGCTGGTGCCTCCAGATCCCACTGAATTTAGGAGATTCCCCTTTAATCTAGAGTGATGTGACAACAGCTGCAGGATATCGGGTAAGTGTTCCTGAGCATTTCCCGGGATGAGTGAAAACAAACTAAGTAGAAGCTGTGATATAAAACAGAATACTTCACTGCTTAGTTCCTTCCTTGCAACCTCAAATGAAAAAGCAAGTAAAGGAAGAACTGAAAGAAGCATCCTTGATTTTGTTAAAACCATTTAAAGAGCCCTTTAGACAAGGGTAAGAACAAAAAGTGCAAGAGCTAATGCAATATAGGCTGAACAGACAGCAAGAGACATTTTCAGAATTAAATAAGCCCATAAAGTTATTAACCATTCTGGGATGTGACACCCACATGTCTTTGTCCTCTTTGTCGTGCAGGCCATAAGCTCACCAGAAATTACTAACATCCATCTTAAACATGTTTTTTGCTGCACCTCAGAAGCTTTCACTGGGGTTTATTAGTACAGAGAGCACTCATCTCACAGGCTTAATCCAAGTTCAGTGAAGTAAACGTCTCTGATATTGTAAATTGCAGCTGTTTTTAATTCACTTACATGAGGAAACAGGAAAATGTCGGCAGGAGAAAAACACTACTTCTTCATTCTATCAGAAAATAAGTGCATTCGTTTTGAGTAGCACCCTGTAGCCAGTTGTATGGCATAGCCTCTCAGATGATTGTTTAAGGAAAGAAGCAGTGCTGAATGGAAGATTTACACTCCCCAAACTACTTTCAACATGCTGAGGTGATCCTGCTGATTCCTGAGGAAGCCACATGACAGCAAAGGTACCTTTTTAAAGCCAAAAAGGATTCCACAGGATCACACTGTGTCAAAACTAACATGGACAGTTAATACCAGCAGAAAATCACAGCTGCACACCAAGAATTTGGTAAAATGTAGCATTTCATTGTTATGCAAATGGCCTTGGAAGTGACCCAGTAGAACCATGGATGAACTCTGTCTGATGAGTGCTGTCATAAAAAGCCTATTTTTTTCCTCAGAGCCCCAATGCTCAGAAGTGAGGTGTCTTGGATAAGGCTATTTGGAGTCAGAAATTAGAAACACATTTGTTTGTTCCTGCTCTTTTTGCTCAAGTGCACAGGAACTCTCCCAGCGTGACTGTGAGAACAAACCATGACACAATGACAGTGAAAGCTGCATGGAACCTACCAGGAAAAAACCCAACCAACCAAAACTCCCAAGTATCTGTGACAAGGACCCCACAGGAGATGGAAATCTCAACCATATGCAAAAATGAGATAAAAATTTGATTGGTCTACAGCCATCCAGGCTATATTCTCTGTTTCCTTCATGAACAGTGCTTTACTGTAAGAATTCTACCATGCTTTCAGAAAGCTTTATTTATTGCAGCACACAGAACCCTCAAAGTTCCTATCCCACCAATGATGGAGAAAAGCCTGAATGCACTGCCATAAAAGAAAATTCCGTACAAGGAAAATAGCACATTACATTTTATTACCATAAACTATCCCTGTGACACTGAGGCTTTTACCTATGACAACAACAAAAAAAAAAGGCTAAATGTCAAAAACACTGATTCACAGGAAATCAGAGATTTGAGGGGCTGCAAAACAAAGTAGTCTTCACAAAAGCTGCTGGAGAATCCACACACCACATTTTAGGGTGTTACTGTAAGAAGTCTCACTGCAGATCCATTTTGTTGCTTATTTAGCATTAATTATTAGCAATCTTTAAAAGCTATCTTAAACCAGCTCTTCTTTCCTTTCATGCTTCCTTTCTGCTTCCTTTCATGCCTCCTTCACACACTGATCCTGGGTGCAGTACCACTGGCAGTAGGAAGAGAGCTGCTGCTCCCAAGTGGAGTTTGAAGGGTGCTGCGTGTTGCATTCTGCCAGTCAATGGCCTGATACAACATTCCACAGCAACCCCTCCTCTGCTGCACTGTCACTGGTGAGACATGGCCACACTAGGAAACAGATTAAAAATTCAACGTAGAGAAACACAACAGTCTGTGGGTGAGTTATTAACAAAATCAGTCTTACTTCAAATTTGGCAATGCTAACACCGTGAGTAATTGTTTCCACACAGTGTCTGCTGAGTATGTTTTCTTGCTACCTCTCTATCTTCAAGCAATATACAACTCAAATCTTAACAACAGTCGGGATACACGTCTCCATACAGCTTTTTGCAGTAATGACAGAGAAGGGAAAAGAGAAGAAAAAAAAATTATCCTCCTTTATGAAATGCCACTGAACACAGGAACACAGCTCCGGATGATCTAGGGAACTCACCTTTTGTGCCTCAGACTTGGCAGTCTTGTTCCCAGTATCTAGAGCAAGGCAGAACAGAAACTCTCTTAAAGCTTCTTCTGTTTTCCCTAGATTAGCTAGTGCTTGTCCTTTCCTTAGGTGACCCTGCAACGAAACACATCCATAGTTGGCACCTTTGGTCATGAGAACGTGCACTAAAGCCAAGGTGAAGTTACAAAAGATCTTTCCAGAGAAGAAAAAGTTAGGCAGGGGAATCACTATAAACGTCTCTTATACCACGACACCATCAGTGCTTGGGTTTTTAACTTACAGGAAGAACTAGGATATTCTCTAACTCTCAAGTATGCTCTCAGAGCACTTGAGCCAAACTGACCTTGGAGAAATCTACTTCCCCAAATTAATCTCTTAAATTTATCATTACATCCTTATATAATGATGCAAGCACAGCATGGGATTTTTGGAGAGTGCTCACAAACTCGAGATTCATGCAGGTCAAAGACAATAGTCTCAGTTTATCCTCTAGGATTATCACTGTTTTCCTGCGCCCCAGAAGTATCACAGCTGAATGCCTGCAAGTCACAGGAAGCCAAGAAGTGACAGGATGTAAAGCCTCACTCCAGTCCAGCTGTCTGACCATTCTAATAGGCTTCTATCCAGGTCAAATCAAGGTTTTAAGTACAGCTGGAGTCAGGACTTACTTTCAACCAGTATGGCTGGAGTCTGCACGCTGTTTCTGCATCATGAAGCGCATTTTCACAAGCTTTCAAAGTCGAGTTAATCTGGGACCGGTTGCTGTAGAGCAAGTGGTCATTTGGAGCTGTAAGAAACAGGAAAATAGGTTGATGGAAGCAAGTTAAAAATCAGTTACATAAACTTTATTCTTTTTTTTGGGTTCTAAGTTGTAAAAACCTACAAAATACACTTTTTTTTTTTTAATAACTACGTACTAAATGAAAACCTCTTTGGGTAACTCCAGACAAGACGTCAGCTATGCCTTATATAACTGCAGGGAACATTGCATAAATAAACCACGAGACGCTCACACAATAAATTACCAGCTCTGACTGAGGATCAGATGGGTGATAGAAACACACAAGAGACATTCCAATAGGAATGCTGTCCTGCTGTAGAGAGGAGTTTCAACATTTTTAGCATCAAAGTTTTCAAGTAATATGTGAGGATCTTTTCATGCCAAAGCTCAACACAGGAAAACAAGTGTAACTATAGGAATGGGGTAATGCTATGACAGTGTGGGTGAAGCGATCTGCTGGTTACACACAGTGTGTTGTAGCATCAAGACACAGTATGTACCAGATTAAGGCTGTACACTCTTTCAGAACACTCAATAATTGAGCGCTTACCGGTAATACCTCGACTTTAATTTCCACTTACTATGGGCTGGGTTACAGCTGTCTTTCCTCAAACTATACGAAAACGATCGCACCAGAAGTTTTCCCCACACAGCCCCTGCGGCAGTTCACCGGTCACGGGCGGCCACGGGGAACCGCGTGCCAGCCGGGACCACCCCCCCCGTGCCCTGCGGCCGCTGTCCCCGGGCCCCGCCGGTTACACAACGGCCGGACCGCGGGCTCCGGCTTACGCAACCGCTGCTCTCCTGACCCAGTTCCACCGCGGGCCGGGGAGCCCCTGCCCCTCCCGGGGCTGCCCCTAGCCTCCCCGCCGCCCGTCCGCCCAGCACCCGGCCCAGCACCGCGGGGACTCAGCGGGAGCTTGGCCCTGGCCGGAGGAAACTTGTCCCGGGAAGCGCGTCCCCCGGAGGCCGGCGTCGGGCTGTGGGTGCCGTTACCTAAGCTGACCGCTTCGTTGTACTTCTGCAGGGCTGCTTGCAGCTTCTTCTCCTTGTAGAGGAGGTTCCCTTCGTGCCTGAGCTGCGAAGCCTTCACTTGGCAGGGAAACCACTTGGCCAGCAGGTTGCTGAGGATGACATTGACCCGCGGGAGCTGCCCGGGCGCCGCGCCGCCCTCCTCCTCCTTGCACAGGACGCAGCGGGACTCTGCCGCTCGGTCCCTCTCCAGGCACTTTTTGCAGAACGTGTGTCCGCAAGGCAAGGAAACGGGCTCGAAGAGGAAGCCCTGGCATTTGCGGCACCTGAAGACGTCCCACTCGCGGGGCTGCGGGGGGCCGCTCCCGGCGGCTGGCAGCCCCTCTTTGATCCGGACGCTCTGCGCCAGGCACTCCACCAGCTTCTCCAGCTGCTCGGCGCGCAGCTGCTGGTGCCGGGACGCCAGCTGGTACAGCGGCAGCGCTTCGTGCAGGCGCCCACCGAACGCCAGCGCGTCGGCGCGCCCCAGCAGCACCTGCCACTCGGGCCCCAGGCCGCCGCCCGACAGCTCCAAGTTCTGTGCCTGCAGAGCCCCAGCCGCCAGCTGCAGCACCAGCGGCGGCTCCGGACGCTGCTGCGGCGGCAGGTGGGAGCCCATGGCCGCGGCGGCTCTAGCGGTGCGGGGCGGCGGGGAGCGGAGGGGGCGCGGGCGCGGCACGGCCCCACCGGCCCATGCTGCTGCCGCCCCGCGCCGGGAGCGCCCCGCGCCGCCGCCGCTTATATAAAGGCGGGCACGTGACGCCGGGCAGCGGCGCTCATTGGGCAGCGCCCGCAGGTTGTTACAAAACCAGGCGGTTTTGTAACGCGCCCACAGCGGCCCCGGCCCCGCTCCTGCTCCGCTGAGGGGCCCGCCCGCCGGCCCGCACCGGAGCGGGCTCCGCAGCCACAGCCGAGGTCCTGCAGGGGCAGGGGGAGCCGGCGCTGCCCCCGGAGCGGGCTGTCGGGCCCGGCCCGGTCTGGGGAGGGGTCGCCCTGTCAGCGCGGGCGCCCTGTGAGGGGTTGAGGCCGGTGTGAGCCCCGTGAGGTGCGGGAATGGCTCCGCCCCGGCGCCGCCCGCTCCGGTAGGTGTCAGGCACGGTCCCTCCTCGTCCGGGTTCTGGGTTGGGCAGGGCCGTGCTGAGGTGAAACCCCGATGGGAACCGCTTCCCGCCGGACAGCTGGAAAGTTACGTTTGACCCGTTGGGTTACGGTGACATGGCGGCGAGAAACTCAGTTCGGTCCCGGGTTTGGCATCTTGATAGTTACGGTAGTGCAAAATAAGTAACAGTTCAAACCGATTTGGAAAAAAAGCACTAATACCATTTCCTGCTAGAACTGGAATTTTAAAGGCTGTAGTGAGACAGATAATAACTCTACTGAAGAGAATCTGCGTAGTTGTGAAGCTGTTCTGATGTCGGGTACTTGTGTTTTTAGGACTAGAACACCAGGAAGAAAATGTCGTGTTTACTTAGGTATGTGGTGTGGCATATTGCATAGATGTACCTGCCAGGTTCTAGGTAAAAAACACATGCCTTATGATGTATGTTTGTTTTATTTAGGACTAGCTGAGTTGCCCACTTCACTCTGCACTTTTCAACCGATTTTGATGATATGAAAGGTCTGCACTAGTTGTGTAACTGTTGGTGCTGAACTAGGGAGAAAACTGCCTGTGCTACCACAGAACAGAAGCAGTTGTTTTAAAAGAAGTTGTCTGATTTTTGTTTGTTTGCAGTTTTATGTAGATCCCAGTTACAGGTTCTAGAAATGTCCATGATATCTAGACAGATGTTTTCAAATACTCTAAAAATATAGAGCACTTTTCACACTGTCTTAAAATCCACTGCAGTATTTGATATTTCTGAAGATAGCTGTTATTGATGCTATTGGCCTCCTCACAAAACATAAGAGAAGGGATGAAGGAATTGATTTCCCATTTCTTATTTACAGAAGTATCTGAATCCCCCAGCTTTGTCTATGTAAACTAAGCAGGTAAGGACAAGCCCTGCCTATGGGGGTTGAATGGACAGGACAGAAAATGGAAGAAAGGAGAAGGAAGAAACATGACTTTTGTAAGACCTTGTTTAGAGAGGATACATGAGAAAGTCCAGATGAGCTTAGATTTAAAGCAAAAAAGGAATTTAAAGGCAGTTAAATTCTGGCTCTTAACTCTTAAGAACACCCACCAGAATAAGGAGGGCTAATTTTGTGATGTTTATGTGTTCATGTGTAGGCAACTTTGGGATTATACAGGAAGTCAGAGTTATACCTGGAAACAGAAACCAGCTTTCAGACCCCTCAATAATTGCCTTCACATTCTATGACAAGAAGACATTTTGCACCTGCTAAATGTTTGGACTCTGCCCCTAGTGCAACATCCAACCATTTTTCCCAGGTAAGTCCTTTAATTAGAAAAAGTTTAATAGAATAACCACTGGGTTTAGTATTTTTTTTTCTGCCATAGTTTAAATCAAACAAGAATCCAAAGTGTAGCTCAGCCTGCCATCAGATAATTCAAAGAAATATGGGACACCTGAAGCACTTGAAGTTTCAGTGAAGCAATGCTTCAGAACAGGCAGAGTTAGAACTGGGGCTCAGAAGGATGGGGTTTTTCCCCCCAGACTCATGCTCACTAACACAGACTTCGTTTTCCAAACTTCCATGCAAGAAGAACTCATACTGTTTGTGCCTGGTGTATGGTAACCCAAATCCATGCACTCAGCAGAGATCCTGGGTTTGTTCAGGCCTGGCTGCTCAGTGGATGGCTCCACAAATCAAGCTCACCAGTGCTGGCTTTCTCCTTACATTTATACATGAGTTACAAGGTAACACACTACCAGTTACAATGATTTGGTTTAATCTACATGTAGTTATTTGCTGTGTCCTTCCTTCTAATCACTACATATGCTCAGAGGAGAGGTCTTCATTTGGGCCAGAGTCTTTTTGACCTCTGTGGGTGTGATTTTTAGTATTACAATGAAGGCAGTTCACTTCAGGACACCTTAAAAGTTAGTTTTATTGCCACGTTAGATAATCAAATGATCACTTGGCCAAGATGTCAAATAACTCATCCTTTAGTACTACCAATCCTGAATTTAATCTTTCGAACAAGACCAGGATCTAGTTTTACCCATGAATTCCTTATTGTTTCAAGAGGTTCATTTTGTCCCAGGCCCAAGATGCAATAACTATGTAACTATGGCTACCAATTTCAGGTGCACAATATAGCAAGTGATACATCGTATCACTATAAAAGAACAAAGAAAGATGTTTTCCTGTAGCTTTGAGGTCAGCAGTTGTCTCTATTGCAAAATAGCCTCGGCAACCCCTCAGTGTGTTATTTTATAACCATTGCGCTGAAAACCACTATGAGTCAAAGCCTATTCAAGCGAGGGAAAGTGACAGAACCGCTGGTTACCAGTAGCAATGCGATGACAATCTCTCCATCAGGAATATGCCACCGGTATTTACATAGTTACATTGCAGACGCTTAAAGAGATAAGTCACGTACAAAGGCAGGGTTTCTAGCAGCACATGAATTCAAGATAGGGAAATAGATTGTTGTGGAAAATGTGATCAGCATTTGTGCTCTGAAAGGAGCTTCCACAGTTTCTATTTACAATGCATGAAGGCATCCGCAGGGCTTGCTGACAGGCTGATCGCTCCGGACTGGAATGACTCTCAAAAAAGCACTGTGAAATGTACTTCTGGGAATTCTCTTACAGCAGCAGGGACGTGGCTGAAACATTTCAAGAGAAAAGGGCAGCTGTGTTTATGAACTACTCCCGTGGTGGGAGCTGTGTGTTTAGGAGGGTGAACAGAGCACAGTCCTTTATCCAAAGCCAGAAAAAAGTTCAGACCTTATTATGGATGGCCTGTGGGCAACAACGCTGTGATTTCTTAGGGAGGAAACCAGCTGGCTCTGCCTCTGCTAGTTCCTGGTACGTGTGGTGTTTGGTAAATGTTAGTACTTTGTGGGGTGTGACAGGTACAGAGTGAGCTGTACAGTCACTAATGGCAAATGTTTTTAAGCCAAGATACTGCTTTACTGTTCACTAGAAATCGGCAACTACAAAATATTTGATTCTGACATTAGGCCAGGCTCTGCAAAGATTATTTTAGCAAGAACAGCTGTGTAAGTTGAATGTACATACTCAATCTAGATATGCTGGGGTGTTTTTATGTAACACATCCTGAAAGCGTGGAGTTTTCATACATTCATACATATATTCATGGATTTGGAGCAGCAGTGGGTCATGAGGTGTACTTTATTAGGAAGCAAAAAAAGAAAAAAGAAAAAAGCAGAAAAAACCCCAAAGCAACTCCCTACCTGCATTGTTCATGAGATCAAGAACTATTTATCCTTCACTTAAACAGAAGTTAAAGCTAGGAGGTGACTCACTCTGCAAAAGCACATCTCCCTTGTATGAGTTTTCTTCAAAGGGAGGTTTAATTTCTTCCTTTTAATGACAATGAGCGCAATACTGATCTTCTTCCAGCAGTTAATGGCTGGCACAACAGGCAGGATGAGAGCATGACTACGTTCTTCAGCCGCCTTCTGGAGCTATAATCTGCGTCAAGATTTTGAGACCACAAAACCAACCAACCAACCAATTTCTTTCCCCTCTAGACTCACTACTCAACTAACACAACTAACGCAAGTGTGAAATTCTGACCTCCTAGTCATGCTGACAGAGCTCCTGCTCTGCTGGAAGTAGGAATGAGAAAACTCGCATCGCAAATACAGCCACAGATGGCTTGTTATTTTCAAGTGCTGTGCACACACTGTAATAGTCCATAGGCAAGAACAGATTTGGACTGATGGCCGGTGGAGTTGAGCCAACTGGAAAGAAAAGAGAGAGATCTGACCGGCATGTTGGGAAGCAGTGCTGACAGACGGGTAGAGAGCGGGAAGTGAACATGTGCGAGTTCTGCAGTGTTATTTTGCCACTGAGTCTCTGAATGACTTCTGGCAACTATCTTTGACTCTCCTTTTGCATTCTGCCTACAATGACTACTCCTGCATGCGCTGGGCATCTCTGCTATTATACATACACGATTAACACTGAGAAACAATCAAGTTCCAGTTCTATTTTAAATAGGTTTTGACACATTAATCTTGAAAGCAAAAGTATAATGTTCCATATACTGTAAAGGAAATGAAAGAAAAGGTGAATTGGGGAAATTTATGTTCATATGTCACAGGTTAGAAAATAGCTAGAACTAAGACATTCACAAATACATTATCCCGTTTAGATAAATGCATGGCGCCATCACATAGAGAAAGCAACTGCATTGCTGAGGTTTGTTTTTCAGGGAAAACTACCAACAGAAGCTGGGAAAGGTCCTCATTACCTGTTGGTCTGTAAGAGGAAAAAAAATACTTGTCCTTCCCAACACGAATCTCCTCTCTTCCTAACTGATGACTGACTGGTGATCAGCATGACAAGAGCTCAGGACCAACACAGCCAGCGTCCCATACAAGTTGTATCTTTCCCACATTGTACAGAAAGGGGGATTCACGGCCTGTCCTTGAAGTGTAACCAAACCTAGAGTGAGTTGGGTAAAATAATTTCTGTTCAGGCATACCTAGATTCTGAGAAAGTTATTTTTGTTCTCTATTGAGATGAAAGGGCTGCAGTCAGAAATGCAGT